AAAAAAAAAAAAAAAAAAAAAAACTAAATGCACTTCAAACATCACTTATTCTACATGTACTTGCCAAATTCTTTGAAATTTTATTTATATATTTAGTTGTTTGCTTCTTTTTTTCTTTTTAGTCAAGTAGTGACACTACTTAAAAAAATTTTTGAAAGTAATGTAAAAAGCACCTGTTGCACATCCGCAATATTTGTTAATTCAAACTGTATTCTTCAAAAGTTTCAAAAACTTCACATTAGTAGCAAACAAGGCTACTCATTAGTATGCGTAAAATGTAAAAAAAAATATAAGTAACTAGCTCTAACCACTACCCTAAATTAATCACCACCTATTTTTATGTTTTTAAAGAGTACTAGAGTTCATCTAATTATTTGATGTTTGTGAGAAAAATGCCACATAATTTAGTATGCATATGCATAGAATAAAAGAAGATCAAAAACTAACCTGTGGAATACCTGAAAACCAGTTAGGCGAAAAAGAAAATTAAGCTGTTTTCTAAAATAAGTAATAAACAGATAAGAATAGAAATTTACAGTCAAAGACTGTGGAAATGCAATAACAATCAAAGAAATTAGACGAAAGCAAAAAAAAAAATGTACTAATTGAAAGAACAAAAAAACGCATCAAACCAACCTTTAACTTCCTCAGCAATAACCCCGCGCATAACTTTTTTTTAATTACTGACAAAAAGTTTTCTTGGAAAACACAACTTTTTCGTTCCACAAATTTACTGGCCCTATTTTTCTAAATAACTTTTCATATCAGAATGTCACATTTAAGTGTCAGTTTGAATTCAGCTATTATACCAACAATTAACACTATCTTTTATCTCCAAAAATTCATTAAAAACTTGACCTCCATGAAAAAAAACCGTTCCTTTTGCTTAAATTACTTCCATCATTGTTGTCGGCTTTTTTTTTCTTTATTTATTTCTCAATAATTCCTGTTTTTTTAACGATCAAAAATCATGTCAAAATACACATAAAAAACTGTTAATGTTCAGTGGAGAAGAGGAAGAAAAGAGGAATTGTTCACAAGACTACTATTCTAATCAAAAGATGAAAACAAATAACACAGAAAAACTGTTTGCCAAAAATTAAATCACTACAGTTCAACAGTGTAAGATGTAAGAAATAAATTGAAATTAATACAAAAGCTATAAAATATGATTTTCCTTACCGTGATTTTATTACACCAGCAGCAGTTATCAGTATTATTGGTTCCAAAGCATTGGTCAATATCCAAATGTCGAACAAAATTTGGTCAACAGAAAATACGTCATTGAGCGATATATAAAAAAAATTTTTTTTTTTTGCTTCTTGGAACTTAAAAAGATAGCGTCCGTTCAGTAAACAAGTCAGTCCATACAGTTAAAAACAACAGTGTAAACGAAAACAATTTAACGCAACATTTCGACTAACTAACTATTAGCACAAAACTCTTTCAATTTTATTTTTTTTTTTTCTTTTCACGTATTCTATTCAGTACGTTTTGTTTAGAGTAGCAAAATTTTTTCTTTTTTTTTTAAGGCGACAAATGCTTCCACTAATTTTTATATTCATTTTAATTCATTTTTCTATTTCTTTCTCAGCAATAAAAACTAAAACAAACAAAACAAATAAACAAAAAGAAAAAAGAAAATCCCATCACTAAAATATATAAATTTAGAGCAATATATTGCCAGCAAAAATAAAGCAAACAAAACATGAAAAGTTAAACGTTACAGTACCCGCAGTTAAGTCTTCGATTTTCTTTTTCTTTCTGTTTTTTTTCTTTTTCCGCAAAATAAATAGCCATCTCTGGCAAAATTTTGATAGGCATAGAGACACTTTAGACTACAAAAACAAACTTGTTGCAAAAATAGTCAACAACAGAGAAACAAATGCACACAGATAAACACAAACAAAGCAATGAGATAACAAAAAACAGAAAAAAAAAAAGGCGAATAACCCATTTGAAATCTGCCAACCGTCCCCTTCCTTTCCCCTCTCATTACTGATGAACTTTTAAATTCAACTCTTTTGCCCTACAAAACTAACAGCCATATAGCTAAGATTGCATTTGGAACTGATCCAATTGTTCCAAAGAGGAAAAGTAAACAATAATACTTAACGGGGAAAAAATTGTGTCAACGAAAAAAAAAACATCATTAAATAATGTGTTTATACATTTCACTCCCTCGAGGAGATGCACTAAAAGTCAATAATTTTTTTGTTTTTTAGAAATTATTGCTTGACAAGTTGACAAGAAAACTGTGATGAACCGCAAAAATGGTCTTCCCTGGAATTGAAAAAGAGTCAGGTTAAAAAAGAAAAAAAAAAAACGACAGAGGACATAAAAAAGTTAACGAAAACAACATCAGAAGCAGCCGGTAAACTCTGAAAGATGGCAGACGGGTTTTTTTTTTCCTCAGTTCTTTTCTCGTTTCTTTTTTTTCTTATAGACATCAAAAAAGAATGATGGAAAATTATTGGCATTGTCGGCTTGGTGTTAAATAA